GAAATGAGATGCCTTCCGCAAATCCTTGCATGTTCCTACTTGAATATTCTAATTGCCAATTCGGCCAAACCTGAGGATACTTAAATCCAGTGACTGCAGCTGCTAACGGACAAGACGTGTATTTCTACAAACCTGAAAAATGCCCCAGGTTTGCAAAAAAATCTGAAATCTTAAAAAAAAAAAAAAAACTACCACCACCCATGGGGGGGGGAGAAAAAGAAAATGATAACACAAACACATGTAGCTTTATGAAACGGAAGCCCTCAATGGCTGTTGCTATAGGCAACCACAGCAATCTGCTCCCGGTTCTCTGCTGCTTTCAGATCTTCCTGAGATTCCTGAATATATCTGTGATTTTCTTTGGATTTTTCTTCCAGTTTTCCCAAGAAAACTCAGATACATTTGGAAGCCATCCCAGCCAGGTTATATTTTCAGCTCGGGTATATCTGAATGCACATCCTTAGTAGCTTTTAAAAATGGATGCCCTCAGTGGCTGTTGCTAGGCAACCACAACAGGCTTGGCTTCTGTTAGAAAAAAGCCACAAGGGCCCTTTCTAGGGTTGTTTGAAGAAGGACTCATTGGGGCCAGACCCAACATGACTCACCAAGGCTTGGATACCTGCCTGTCTAATAGCGGGCACAAAAGTCAGAGGACTCGATCGGGGCGCCTCGTATACGGCAGTAGAGAGTGGCAGCCCGGAGAGGGACCCAAGTCAGAGGACTCGATCGGGGCGCCTCGTATACGGCAGTAGTGAGTGGCAGCCCCAGAAATGTCCTGAAGGAAAGAGCCGAGCAGGAGCCCTCCATGTCAGACAGGAAAGTGCAACCGCAAGCACCCAACGGAGGGAAAAAGAAAAGGACCTCATCCATAACACCGATGAAGAAAAATCACCGTACGTTTATGTAAATACAACATTCTTAGAGGATCTATTGACTGATTGATTGCCCCTTTAAAGAGTCAAAGGAAAGGAGGAGGTGAAAGTTTTTCCTCCCCCTTCCTCTTGCAATCGGCTAGGAAAAGAACTTCAAGAAATTCCTTTTAAGCTGTGGGCCAAAAGGATAAGAAAGAGCTGCTGTCTGAGACCACAATTCTTATATGGAGTTTTTACAAAATTCTATAATATTTCTCTGTGAACTTTATTGAACTAGAAACAGACACCTTATGGAAAAGGAGAAAAAGAAGACCTGGATTCCACTCTGAACTGGTTCTGTGCTACATTCTCATAACATGGTGTATTTTTACTATAAAGGTACAAGCTGTTCTGATTGTACTTTATTCTGTTGGAAGCAACTGATAAGACTCCCAAGCTATGGTGTGAATCTTTTTTTTTCAGATATGGCTATAGTGACTAGTGTTGGTAGATAATGGGAACTGGTGTGACTTTAAACTATTATTGAGTGGGGAAAATTTGAGACTCTTTGTTTTTAATATGTTGCTGTGGAATGTCTGGTGGTTCAAACAAGATGTCTGGAGATACATCCTCAACAAGTGTGGGACCTTTAGATATTGACTGGACACAGATTTCTTTAAAAGGTTTCCAACTCAATGACCTCGGCTGTGATACTGGCAGTAAGAGAGATTGTTGATGCTATACAAGCTGAACTGGATATATTGCCAAAGCAGGCTTCAACCAACATGGAAAAAGCCTGGAAGCCAGAGAAGGAAGAGGAACAAAATCTCAGAGATATAGAACATAGTGAGGAAGTCTATAAGCAAGTGGATATCAACAGAGTGTATTTACCTCCAGCAAAGAGAAATAAAAGATCCAGGGAAATGTCTAGAAAATTGACAGGTGAAAAAACCCTTAACATTTTGAATGACGCACCACTACTACAAGAGGAAAGAATCTACAGAATTCTAAATTCTACTGACAATGGACTATAGATGGCAACTTCAAGAAGAAAACTTCATTATTTACAAGGAAAAAAGACATAGAAAAAAGATTTTAAAATTTAAGAGAAGAAATCAGAAAATGGAAAAGATGATGAAATATTACAAAAAGTTTTAAAATGTGTTGTATGATTCTCTGAGATTATATTGTGAAATTGGATTACTAAAAACAGATGTGAAAATAGTTAAACATAATCCACACAAAAAAGAGAGAATATCAGACAAAATCTGTTTAAGGTAAAAGTTTAAATAAAAGAGAATATGGAATGTAGACACATATATGTAAAGGATTAGTCACTAGTATAAGATGGAGAAATGAAAATACTGTATAATCTATGACACTCCATAGTAGATAATATAGGTTTGTATTGATTCAATTCACTTATATGTATTTTGATTGAAAGGTATGGAGAAATAAGACCTTTTATAGTATTTATAAAATGATTTAAATAGAAGGTATAGAACAAGAAAACTAGTAACTTCTTTTTTTGTTTAGTAGAAATCTTTTTGGACATAAACTCAAATTAGAAGAAAATATGAAATGTACTCGTATATATATGCAAAAATCTAGATTTTAACATAAGGTGAAATTTTTTAACATAAGGTGAAAATTTTTTATACATTGTATAATGTATACATTGTATAATGTATAAGGCTTTAAAAATGGAGAAATATATGTACTATCCCAGTTTTATGTTTGTTTGTTTGTTGTGTTTGAAAAGTAATTTTAAAAATCTCAAAAAAAAAAGACAATGCTCGGCCAGGCTGCACACAAGGTGAGGTGAGGTGAGGTGAGGTAGACAGCAGTGACCAGCTGAGCCCTACACAAAGTAACGCAAGGCAGATGGCAGGGCAAGCCCTGCATTGGGCAAGGTGAGGTAGATGGCACCACCCAGCCAAGCTTCATGCAAAGCAAGGCAAGGCAGACAGCTTCCAACCAAGCCTTGCACAAGGCAAGGGTGGTGCCCAGCTGGCCTAGCCAAGGTGAGGGAGGCAGTGCCCCGTCTGCACAAGGCAAGGGAAGCAGCACCTGGCCAATTAGTTACGCAGGCTGCCTCTTTCTCCTTCCATCCATCCTCCCTTTGTGAAAGAGAAGCAGGATCAAACAGACTGTTTCTTCCTTTCCTTCTCCTCCTTTATGGCAGGGCTCTTTCCCAGGGTTTTTCATTCCCAGTCCACCCCTGCTCACAGAGTTGTTCTGAGAATAGACTGGAGGTGAGGCGAATGAAGTTAGCTGTTTGGAGTCCTCATTGTGGACAAAGGTGGGATATAAATGAAGTAAATAAGTAATAAATACAGCTGAAGATGGATGGGCAGATAAAACTATTGCTGGAGGGTGGGTGGGAAGGACAGAAGGAAGCCGAGAAGACTGAGGATATGGGGACTGTCAGGTGAAGAGAAAGAGGAAATAATGTGGGGAGGTTGAGATGGGGCAAATGGGTTCCCTTAGAAAATCCTTGCAGGTTCCCCACTGTGCAACTGGGCCTGCTTTGGTAACCATCACCACACAACCTGGCCGTTGTTTTCCTGGGCAGAGGGTGCTGGGGTAGGGTAGGATGGAAAACTGAAGATGGGGAGAAAATAAACATAGGTTGGCTGGTGGATGGAAAAGAGAGGAGGCAGTAAGAAAAAGAAAGAAGGAACTAGTGGGGGAGAGAAAAATTCACCCCACATGTCCTTGTAGTTTCCCATTTGTTGATACATCTAATTCTCAACATGGTTAATTCTTAGGGTACTTAAATCCAGTAACTGGGGGCATGAAGAGATAAGACAGGTCTATGAACCTGAAAAACATCCCAGATTTGCAGAAAAGTCTGTAAAATTTGTTTTAAGTATCCCAGATTTGCAGAAAAGTCTGTAAAAATTTTTTTTACATTGAGTTAAACCCTGCCTGTCAAATAACAGAAGCAGCACCCATAGCTTAAAAAACAAATACCCTCAGTTATTGTTGCTAGGCAACCACACCAGTATTGCCACCCTGCAAGCCTTGGTTTGAGTCAGAAAAAGGATGAGGGAAAGGAAGAGCTGTTTCCAGGGCTATTTTGGCCTTTAAGGGTGTACTCATCAGGGTCAGGCCTGGCAGCAACCACTGGGTGACTTGCATGACCCACCTAGGCCTGGCTACTTGCTCCTCCTATTCAACAGCAGTCACCTCATGGAAGTCAGTGTTTAGTAGTGGCTAGAGTTTGGTTCAAATCATCACTCTGCTGTGGAAGCTCACTACGTGACCTTGGTCCAGTTACACATTCTCAACCTAACTTACCTCACAGGGTTGTTGTGAGGATAAAATGGAAGAATTATATAAGCTGCTTTGGGTGCTCACTGTGCAGAAAGGCAGGATATAAATGAAATAAACAACAGACATAGCAGGAGATGGGTAGCATCTCTGGTTGGTGGATGAAAATGAAGTAGGGAATGGCAAAGATATGGGGGTACCAAGAGGGAGGAAAGAGGAAATAGCATGGCTAAGTGGATGCAGAGAAAATGAGGTGTCCCCTGTAAGTCCTTGGGGTTCCCCATCATGCAACTGTGCCTGGCCTGGTGTCCACAAGTGAGCCATAGTTTTCCTAGGTACAGGCTCCCAGGGGGAGAGAAGGAAGGAAGGTTGGCTGGTGGTTGGGAAGGAAAGATGAAAGTAGGTAAAGGGGAGAGTCTATGGGGGCTTTCAGGGAAGAATAAGAGAAAATAATGGGAGAGAGTTCTTGCAGGTCTCCCACTTGTCCATACATATTTTTGAACAGGCAAAACATTTATCAGTTTGTTGTGAGAAAGAGACCAATCAAATGTAAATTAATCTGGCAGAGTATGTTGTAAACAAATTGGTAAACATGACTAGCTTGAGTTTATATGGAATATCATTGTAACCATGTTATTCAATCAGGGTGTTTTACAAACTTTACATGCTATCCTATGGTAGCACTGCCTCCCTGTGGATTAAAACAGAAATATGTCTATAAATGTAAGCCTTTACATAGAAGTAATGATATCATTTTCTGCCTTTATATTTGTTACTTACCTCTAACCAAGCCAGCATGGAACACATGACAAAATCCCACTCGCTATCCAGCAGAGAGGAAGAATTTTTCAGCAACAGAGAAAGGAAACGTATCATCTCAATATTGAATCCAAGTAACTGAGGACTTGCTTCCTTTAGATTGCTTGGACATGGAGAAGAAGAGTTAAGATAATAAGCGCATGTTTTTATATGTAAAGATTCTTTATTTTTGACCCTTGTTCAGCTGCTCCTTAATAATTACTAGCATTATTGCATTGTACAACTTTGTTTTACTTTCTGAGAAGGCTTACATTCCTATACTGGAGATCTGAGACTTTCACTATGTGAGTCTTCCTCCATATGAAGAAGTAACTCCTCTGCCCAAAATAGCTCTTTCTCCAAAACGTTCAACAGAAGAGAGTTTCAGAGTGAACCTAGTAAACACTATAATTGCAAATGTGTAAAAATGTAATCATAATAAGAAAGTACATAAGTATCACCCACCAGCTAAAAAGAAAGATGTCTTCATAGTCATGTCGCCAGGATATAATTATTTTTAATATTCCAGGCATTAATTCTCCACAATCAATGTTTCCACCACTCAAGCAAGAATTTAAAACAGCAAGATATCCAAAAGGTCCTATAACAGAGTCAAATACCAGGTTTAAAAGGCTATATTAAATGTCCTGGCACATAACAAGAAAACAAAGATCAGAATGTGCATTTAGAAATAAAGCGTACAAATGAAATCCACAAGTCAACAGACAGAATTATGACCCTTAAGGAGTTTTCATATTGTCTTGAAAGACAGAAGCAACTAACATCTGATTACATTTTTGCACTGAAAATCCTGCTTCTAAAATTTAATATAGCACTGGAGAAAAAAAATAAGGGGACTGACCATCAATCTCAGAAAGCTCAATTTTGTCGCACATCATAAGTTTAGCAGTACACTGAATGACAAGCTCTTCCTTATCTTCTTCAAGTAAAAATGGAGACAGGTTCTGAAGTGTGTGCAAGTTGCCTTCTGTTAAAGGGAAAAAACTGGCCATGGAAATGAGACAAAGTGAATATGGAAACAAATATTGGTTATTCAATATATATTGAAATATCTAATAGTCTGGAAGAGCCATGGAACAGAGAGAGAAGACTTCATATGCAGTTTTAGGAAAGATGCCTTTAGGGTTGCCAGCCCCACGGTGGGAGCAGGGGAACCCCTGCGTTTGCAGGCTCTTGCCTGCCGCCGGCCAGTTGCCTGGTGGGGAAAAATCCCGCCCCCAACTGACCTTTTAGTTTCAAGCCTACTTCGGGCATACTTCTGGTTGGGATTTATATAAGACTCAAATGCTAGGCTAGATCAGCATTACCTGCATCAGTCCTCATTATTTATTTGTCTGTGTACCTCATATGGTAAATATGCTTTCCTTGGAGCGAATCTTTGTCACACCTGAGAGCCAGGGTGGTGGGTATATGCATGTTTTAAATTGTTAGCTGCCTTGGTGGCCCTATGAGGGCAGAAAGGCAGGGTACAAATCTTGTATACTAATACTGGTAATGGTACTGGTAGTAGTATTAATATCATCATCATCATCATTATGATCAGCGTCTCTAATGAAGACTTGGGGGACCCATTCAGCCATGATGTTCAGTGAGTGACCTTGGGCCAATCACTCTCTCTAAGTCTGACCTACCATATAGGCTTGTGAGGATAAACTGGAGGCAAGGAGAACCATGTTGCTTCCCCAAGCTCCTGAGAGGATAAGCAGGACACAAATAAAGTGAAATGAGATTGCCATCTTGGCTCCAAACTGTAACCAAGTTAGAACATCCACACACTGCACATATAGCTAATATGTGATTTTGTCCCTGCCACCTCTTTTGAGACTAGAATAACGCTTCTCTTTCTAGCATTAAATTCACAATGACAATTCCTGCTTTGTCAATGAGCCAACAGCAGACAGAGGGCTGGACCCAGCCAGCTTTTTCATTCAGTATCAACCAGTCCCCCCCGCCCCCCATCCAACTATAACGCCTATGCAACAAGACTTTTGTACATCCAGGTACCATGATCCCCAGCACAGCCCTTTTTTTGGCGGTGAATGAGGAACCCCTTCTTCCTCTTTCATCATCAGAAAAGCTGGTTGGATCCATCCCACAATAAGACTCTCCAAGAAATCAGAGCATACTACCTTTCTGTTGTATTGAAAAGGGCTTTTATCTCACAGGATGAAATATTCTTTGTATTTATCATTTTAGCCAAAGTTAAGGTCCAAAGTCTTCCACTCTCTTTTGATCTATGAAAGAACAGAAGGGTATCCATGATACACCTGATTTGTTTAGGAAATAAAAAGATGTTCATTTCCATGAAGAATTCACAAGACAATAATATTTTGAAGATAAGGAAAATTATATCCAAAGAGGCAGAATGACAGAACTTCTACTAGAAAGCAACAAAAGCACAGGAATTAGACTATGTACTTACCTTTTAAATAAGATTTGTAATAGACAGGGAATATTACTAAGAGCACATAATTTCTCAGATGAAATATTCATTACTTCGAGCTTCTGAAGAAATTCAAGAAGCAGGCACGGTGGGTTTGCTAGTTCTTCAATCCATTGTAATGCATAAAGCTGTTCTGCAACTAAAGAAAAAAGTCAACAACATAAAGCATTCCATAGTAAACATTTGAAAAGGAATGAAATGCCCAGATGAAAATAATAATAATAATACTTTCAATTTATTAATCGCTTTCCCCAGTGGGCTCAAAGCGATGTACAGTTACACATTAGACAGTGGACTAACAATGTTCAAAGGGGATAAGGAGGACAACATATATTCATTTTTAATTGCACACGCTGTCACTGCACGGTGGAAATGTCTTCTGGCTTGGCTCAGTCATTTTCCGAACGGCTGCTTGTTGACCAGGCTTCAGGACCCGTATGTCACATCGCCACAATACCACCGCCTGGCCGGAGACATCCACTGCAGGGATTTTTGTAGCCGAGAAGTTCTTTCGCCTTTTTCCGACCACGACCAGGAAGTCCCGACCGTCAGCTAACACCCTCCCACAAGGGAGATTGGTGTGCCCACCCTCTCTAAGGAGTGGTTCCCATTTTATCTACTCGCTGAAGCTTTTGAATCGCTGGGTGGATGAGCTGGGGACAACAGGCTGGCTGCTCACACCAGCGCAGGGCTTGAACTAACACAGTTCGGATGTTAAGACAGTGGGATGTTAACAGTCACTAAGGAAAACTGGCAGTAGGTTACTACTGTTATAAATGTTATAAATGCTGTGTTGGATCCACTGACTACCTTGCCCCCAAGCTAGATCTGGACTGGTCTGGACCCTATAGATCCATTCTACTAGTGATAGTGCTTTCCTTTGGTACGAGGAACCTTCCCCTGATGCAAAAGGGTCTTCCTCTCACAAAGGTGAAGAGTATCTCTGTAGCAGAACAGCTCTGTGGGATCCAATCCAATGACTCCCCTTTTGCTAAGTCCTCTTCTTTCAAAGCAAAGGCAAAACAAAAGCAGAATGGAACCAATGGATCAAACCATAATGCTTTAGTCTCTAGCAGGACTTAGTTCACCAAGATCTTTACAGATAGAATTCCAACTGAGACCAGCTGACATTCCCTTTTTCCTAGTTTTAAATTCAGGGTACCATTCAATGGGCCACACTGGTCTGCTTGTTGTTCACATAAACATTCTTATGCATGCAAAGTCTTCCCCATTCAATTCAACTGAGGAGGCAGATTTGGGTACAGAAAGCTCATATCTGTGCTGCCAATGAGCAGAATGTGCATGAGAAAGTTCTGTGTGAGCAGAAAAATACCCACAGTGCTTTAAGTCAGTCAGAGCTTCAAGAAACAGCAAGCTATAGAAAGCACAACATAAAAGTGGATTATTTTATCTAAAATTATGCTTACCAATTCATAACTTTTAAAATGTTGGAGGCAGGACTCAGGCAACGCAGCCAGAGGATAGGGAGATCTTCTGTGTGACAGATCAGGGAGCCAACTGATTTGGGAGCGTGTGGAATGTCCAGGAGAGTCCATAATCAAAACACAATTATATATAAGGAGAGATTACATTCTAGAGAAATAAAAAATCAAGGCTTAACTTCCCAGTTTATACACAAAGCACCTTTGCCGCATACACCAGCATTAGCAGTGGTAACATGCCTCTGAGCAGTTACAAAATAATCTTGCTCACTTTAAAAAACACAATTATATATAAGGAGAGATTACATTCTAGAGAAATAAAAAATCAAGGCTTAACTTCCCAGTTTATACACAAAGCACCTTTGCCGCATACACCAGCATTAGCAGTGGTAACATGCCTCTGAGCAGTTACAAAATAATCTTGCTCACTTTAATGAGATTACAATGTACGTAAGTATTTACAAGATCAGACCATGGTACAATTCCTTTTGAAAATCACAGTCAACTTCATTACAACACATTAAGAGGGTAAAAGACCCACACCAAGTTGATTTGGGGCATTTACAATACTTTATATATTTGCAATTTCCCCAGCTAAATAACTTCCTTCTTTCTGAAAAGATGCTTTTGCAACATAAACACAGGTATACATAAAGCACACAGAAAAGTGCATCTACTAGAAACAACTATAATACTATTGTTTATTTAAAAGTACTGATCACTATGGTTATATCTAAAACTTAATTACTACAAACATGTTAGTATTTACAAAAGAATCTGTAAATGATAAATAAGAGAGGTAGAGTTTGTAAGAAGGGTGGAGATTTTTTCACTTCCACTCAGACCCAAGCTTGGGGGTCTGCCCCATCTTTCTGCTACTATAGCTGCCTGATATCTCTGTTTGTGCTATAAGAACTGACTCCTTCCAAACTCCTGAAGGCCTTCACTCCAAGGCTGTTGACAGTGTGTCTGCAAATTAGGATTCTTGGCTATATCTGCAGAGAATATTACTGCCATTATGAAAAGCCTATCTGAGTTGGGGAGGTAAGAAAAAATGCTGTCCCCAATTAGGTAAAGGTATAGCAGTAGCCCTTGATGAAGCTGTTAATGTGGAGCACAGAAGACCAGAAAAGGAGGTGGGGGGCAGTCTCTCCTTCCACTGCAAAGGACAAGGATTTCTTAATGTGCAAGGCCTATAACCTTTGAGGTAACTACACACCTTTCTTCAGTAATGGAGAACATGTAAATGTTTATATTTGAAATAAATATCCTGTGCAATATACATGTTTGCACTCTCCATATTCAAGTTTTCATCTCTTGCATAGATTTTTAGTTCACAGCACAAATTTTCTTTGGTAATGTGAGGACACACTGCACTGTATAAGTCAACTCTGTACCTCAGTAGATAGGGAATCCTGCATCTTTTCCCATTCACATTTGCTTGGGGTCAGCCATTCAATGTAGTCTTTCAAAATATAAGCAGAAACTTCATCAGCTTCCAACAGTTCAGTTAGCAAATCACTGACTGCAGAAATCAAAACCTGCAGACTGACATGAAAGGAAACCAGCATTTTACATGAAGAATAAAGCACAATAGCAAAATCTGTAGCAGCCTAAGGAAACAAGTCATAAGACTATGTAGCTACCTTTTAACATCCATCACAGATGACTGAAGCTGGTTCTTCACCCAGAATGCAGATCTCTGCAGGAAGGTGCTCTCTTTATGCATACCACCAGGCTGATGCACAAGTGATGTTAACCCACACATCCAAGTGTGCTTCAGCTTATTTACAAGGAAATCTACATCAATAAAAGAAAACAGCACAGTGCTTTAACTGCTGGACTACACTGAGAGTAATGCAAATGTTAATCTCTCTACCTCAGCGCTATGATTAAGAACTGACTTGCTTTTGAAACGATTTTATGCTGTCCTTATGTCACCCCCAGTGTTTATATATCTTCTAAAAATCTGAGGGAGAATCCCATGAGTGGGGAATGAAGCCAGAGCACTCTGGAGCAAGCAGGATGATGACTAACCAGGCCTTCCTTCTCCTGCCTGCTGGAGGAGGTGGAAGACGTAATCCCACATATTGGGCAACCCCCCCACCAAAGAAGCATCAATCAGCAGGATGATGACTAACCAGGCCTTCCTTTTCCTGCCTGCTGGAGGAGGTGGAAGAAGTAATCCCACATACTGGGCATCCCCCCACCAAAGAAGCGTCAATAAGCAGCTGACCTGGCTAAATGGAAATGTACCTGACAAATATGTTGTAGCCTGGCTTTTTGCACACAACTGAAAGATGGTGAACAACAAATCTTCTGATGATGGCATCAACAAGCATCCTTTAACTGAGCTAAAGAAGTTAGAGGCTACATCACAGATGAATGACACAGATGGCTCAGCATTTCCAGCTTCTGAAAGATCCTTCGCTTTAGAAAGAGCCGCTTGAAGTTTGTCAATTATCCTTTTGACATAAACTTCACCAATCAAGGACTCTATTGATAGAAAAGGACAGAGTATGTTAAATTGCTCTGTGATCAGTAAAAGCGCGGCATATCCTGTGCTCTGAACGTTCCACCACATTCGTTAACTAGACCTGAAACAATCATGGATACCTCTTTTCAGTGAATCCAATGAGGCTACATTCCACATATTAGAAACCCCGGTCTTGACTGCTTATTTTGACATTATCTTAGGTCTGGCTTAACAGTGTCAGTGTCTCACACTTCCTACCAATGCCTTGAAGTTTGTCAATTATCCTTTTGACATAAACTTCACCAATCAAGGACTCTATTGATAGAAAAGGACAGAGTATGTTAAATTGCTCTGTGATCAGTAAAAGCGCTGCATATCCTGTGCTCTAAACGTTCCACCACATTAGTTAACTAGACCTGAAACGATCATGGATACCTCTTTTCAGTGAATCTAATGAGGCTACATTCCACATATTAGAAACCCCGGTCTTGACTGCTTATTTTGACATTATCTTAGGTCTGGCTTAACAGTGTCAGTGTCTCACACTTCCTACCAATGCCAGGCCTGTGATATTAACACATTTATTATTTCAAAGAAACCTGTACATTTTAATTCTAATTCATGTTTTTAATGTAATTTATTTATTCTATGTAATTTCAGGTTTTTATGTAAGCCATCCTAAGCGGTCCTCGTATTCATTTGGAAACAGGTGACCCTTAAATACATTCTGTTACATACACACACACACACGTAAATAAAATACTAAGCTCATTTTGGTCAGGCTAACTATGATCAAAAGATGGACCCAGTTACTTGCATTGTAGCAGTAGTGAGAGATTTATTTATTCATTAATACACTGCCCTTCTCCCCATTAGGGATCCAAAGCAGCTCACACCATTCTTATCTCCTCCATTTTATCCTCACAACAGCCCTTTGAGGTAGGTTAGGCTAAAAGGGTGTGACTGGCCCCAGGGTAAGCTGGCAAGCTTCCATGGCAGAGCAGAGATTCATACTATACCATACTGGCTCTTCCTCTGAAGAAAAGGCATCTTTGCTCACCCTTCAGTTGAGAGTGTCATGATGTATTCTTGCAACCAAGAATTTTTTCAGGGCTCACAGGCACCTTTTTGGCCTAGGGACTGCCACAGAACACAAGCAAGCAGAAACATTCGCTTTTCTCTTGTGAATCTAGAGCCCCCCAAATGTATCTCAGAAACTGAATAGGAAGGGAAACAGCCCTGAACCAGTGTCCTGTGTAGGCTTGCTTGCCCCATCAGATCTCCTCTGAAGCAGAGCATTCAGGTCCAGACAGTGAGGCTTGGGAGCATTGATACATGCAGGCAGCCGGGAGCTGGAACAGAAGGGAAGGAACTGGATGCTAGAACAGGAACCGGAAGCAAGAAGCTGGCACACAGGCTTGTGCCTAGGGGACTGGCTGATCCATCAAGGCAGCTTTCCCCTGCCTTGGCTGAAATAGGGTGGGATGTTATCAGGCTCAGCTGCCCTGCTGGCAGGTGTTGAGCTCCTGCAGCTGCACTGTGCATGGGCCAAGATCCTGCAAAAAAATTATTGTCCCCACTGTTTGGCTCTGGGATGGGGTTGCATGCAGCCAGTCGAGCACTTTGCCCCCACTTTGGGGCCACCTCGGTCTGGGCCTTCTGCCACCACCATTCCTGCAGAGTGAGAGCATCTTGCCCAGCAGAAGCCTGGTGGCTATTTCCAGGGCCAGTGGTGAGGCCTCCCTTGCAAACTCTGGCAAGATAGCTTCTGGTGCTGCAGGAGCCCTGTCAGGCCTCCATCATGATAGGCTCTCCCTGGTCCTGCTTGTCCTCCTCAGCTGGTGGTCTTGGCTCCTCGGGCTCTTCCTCTTCCTCTGAGTCGCTGAGCTGGTTGGCGGGGGCCACCATGGCAGTCAGGATTGCTTCCCTCCTTTAATAGTTCCCTTCCCATTCAGCTCCAGAGACTGCCCCAGGTTTTCTCCCTTCCCTTATTGTGGTGCAAGCAAAGCAGCCATTTTCATTTTGTGGCTGCCAGCTGTATACAGAAAAAAAGGTGGGAGATGGACCATATCTTCCTTCAAATGGATATTTTAGTGGGTAACTTACTAAACAGCTTAAATTCTAGTGTTAAGAGATCTGCCTTTTGGCAGTACTGTTAGAAGCCATCCAGGTTATTAGATTCAGATACTGGCTTGGCAACAAACCTCAAATTGCAAAGATTTGCAACAGAGAAAATTCAGATGACACGACCTGTCTTAAAAGGGGGCATGATCACTACATAACAATTGTCTCTGTCTAGCAATAAGCTTAAAAATCCAGAATGTAATCCATTCTGATCAGTGGGGCTTGAGCACACATTTTTCTAGACCAAACTTTTTATTTATTTATTTTTAAATAATGAAAATAAAAAAGGAATCTTGTAGCACCTTAAATTTAGGCTTCAGTAAATTTGCTAGTCTTTAAGATACCAAAGAGCAGGGGTCATGTCATAGAAAAAGAGCTGCAGGAGCTCATTAGCATATGGTATGCTAATGAGCTACTAGGCTATTAGCATAAGAGCTCATTAGCATATGCAACGCCCCCTGACAACACCGGAAGTGGTGAAATAAAATACTAAGCTCATTTTGGTCAGTCTATGATCAAAAGATGGACCCATTGTAGCAGTAGTGAGAGATTTATTTATTCATTAATACACTGCCCTTCTCCCCATTAGGGATCCAAAGCAGCTCACACCATTCTTATCTCCTCCATTTTATCCTCACAACAGCCCTTTGAGGTAGGTTAGGCTAAAAGGGTGTGACTGGCCCCAGGGTAAGCTGGCAAGCTTCCATGGCAGAGCAGAGATTCATACTATACCATACTGGCTCTTCCTCTGAAGAAAAGGCATCTTTGCTCACCCTTCAGTTGAGAGTGTCATGATGTATTCTTGCAACCAAGAATTTTTTCAGGGCTCACAGGCACCTTTTTGGCCTAGGGACTGCCACAGAACACAAGCAAGCAGAAACATTCGCTTTTCTCTTGTGAATCTAGAGCCCCCCAAATGTATCTCTGCTCCGGCCCGCTCTGGCCCCAAAAGACTCCTGCCAAAGAGTACTTTTTTTTCCTTCAACAAACTAACACAGTGCCACACTAGAAAAATGTTGGGCAGACTCGGAAATAGGACCATCCTTTGGGAAACAGCCCTGAACCAGTGTCCTGTGCTCTGTAGGCTTGCCCCATCAGATCTCCTCTGAAGCAGAGCATTCAGGTCCAGACAGTGAGGCTTGGGAGCATTGATACATATCAATAGAAAGACAATAACATAGTCCAACAATAATATATTTAATGGTCCTTTTTGCCTTAGACTAACTGCAATTTTCAAAATAGACCCAGGAATCCCATGACACATATGGAGAAGCTGTATACACTAAGTTACATGTTTCTCCTCCATCTAGCTCCAGAATACCTTCAATACACACAGCTAAAGCAACACAATTTTATAAATGTGGGCTTTTGCACTTGTGTAAAACAAATAAGAAAACTTGCAATAGAACATATGTTAAGAGATTACCAAGCTGAATGCATGACATACCAGTCAACTGACAGGTCAAACACTGTCAATTGTCAATCAACTATTTGTTATTTGACTATAGTCACACATACAGGAGGTGGCGGATTTTACTGCTCTGTGACAGCCTTTCACACCATCTGGGGTACTGTTCCAGAAGGCTCCTGACCATCATGGAGGATGGGACCATCATGGGGGAAGCAGACGCCAAGTGTGACTGGAAGCAATTATTCCGGACTCAAACCAATATGTACCAAGTAAGAACAAAAAAGCTGACAATACCTTTTGAATTATTTGAAGGAGAATCTTCCACTTCAGATCCATCTAAAACCAGAGAAAGTTGAAATATTATGTAACGTGGGGAGCCCTGCTCATTTCCTAGAGTGGCTTTGTTTAGGGACCTCTGTCACATAGACGTTCACATACATATGACCTCCAATCAGCACTCACCCCCACAAATTCATAAGTAAATATACTGCAAGAGAAGCACAGCCACCCTTTTCTTAGCTTAGCTTCATAATTCTTCATGAGCCAACTGAGCCTCAGCAAACTGATGCTAGCTGGGGAAAGAGATTTGGACTCTTATTTATTTACCTCTATATTCTGGCCAGGAAATAAAACGCTGATGAGATTGCATTATGGACAGCTTCCCAGTTTATGAAGGTATGCTAAATGACTGGAATATTCTTTTGCTTAAAAAGTCGTCATCAGTAAGTTTGCAGAGGTGCCCCATATTAATTTGGGCACATACGCAGCATTTCATGGCATACAGTGGATAGCTAGGGTGAGCTACTGTAAGAAATTTTTAAAACTAGTTAAAATCTAGTTTCAGGATTGCAGTAACGCTGCTCATTTTTAATACTAAATACTGAAACCATATAATCCCCATCAGAATTATCCAACACAATGTTGAAAGCCACAGACAAACATCAAACAAGCCAATTAACAATCCAAACTACTAAACTAATCTTGCAAACTATCAGTCAACAAAATAAATATATGTAACCGAGATTTTGGATTTAGATATTTTGTTTATAAGACAACTGTACCTTTGTTAAATCATTGAGAATATTTTCTCTCTCTGTGGTGCTGCAGCAGCAATGGAGGACACTATACAAAATATCAACCAAAAAGTCTGTCTCTTTCCTCCAGTCTTCTTTCAGCCAATCTATTACATTTTCATACAGAAACTGGAGAGATGGATTTTCATACTGAGGTTTTATAGCATCTTGAATATTGCTCCTACTCTCTAGGAGTACTTGGAAAACTCTACTAGAGGCAAAGTTGCTGAGCAGAGCAGAGAGGAACTTCAAGTGCGGGTCAGATCTTTGATCACTGGTATAAACAATACTTAGTTCTGCAAGTGTACAAACTAGATCTTCCAAAGGTTCTTTCCTTAGAGGGGAAAGATGCTGTGCTTGAAAAATAATGCCAGGTTCATTACTACTTCCCACATCCACATATGTCTCATTCTCAGTGCTGTTCTCAACTTCAGCTTCTTCTGAAAACCTGATCTTTACAGCTTTTCTTTTGTTTGGTTTCAACTTCTCTTCCGGGTTCTGAAGGACTTGTAGCAAACAGGACACAGCAGCCAAAGCTTTCTCATCCACATCTGTTCTGTCAACATGGACCACACAAACTTTAGAAAGTCCATCCCAAAAGTTCAACAACATTCTCTGAAAAGTGAGAGCTGTTTCTTCACAACTTGAATTTTCTCTTCTTGTTTCCCAAGAGCTTAAAAGGTCTGCTACCTCATAAAACAAAGGTCCATTTTGTAACCTGGGCTCTTTAATCACCGTGTCTATGAGAGGAATTAGCTGTAAGGAGGAACACAAATTAGTTTTAACACTAAGCAGACAATGGCTGTTTTTCATTAATTATTTCCTGTTACCAAAAAAAAAAAGTTTTCAGTTATATGCTCATGGACACTGGGAAAAAAAAAAAAGAGTATCTGGCCATTATTTTGGCTCAGATTGGGAAGAATTTCAGTATTCTTGTTTCCAAGGCAACCAGGCCAATGGCCCCACTCCTGCTATGCTGTAGCAGCACATGATTGATCTGCCACAGTGTAGTGATGAAAGGCAGGGAGCAGCAGCAGCCCACTTCTTTCCTCCATATACCCCAACACCTATTCAGACCAAGGAAAACTGGTTCACCGTTATTTCACCTCACTCTGACATTGTCACACAGTCTAATCAGCTACAGGACACTGTGACTTCCTTATGTTATATAATCTTTCATTTGTCAAGATCACGTAGCAGAGACAGAAGCCATAAAAATGGCATCAGTAACAGATTGGAATGTAGACAGGCACAGAAAACTGTGAATGTTCTGAAAGGTACTTTTCAGAGAACTGTCAGCTCACTCAAAGCCACACCTATTGCCCACCAGCTGTTCAGTGGTAAACATTTGTTATAATCCCAATTTGTTTAGTATATTCATATTTAATTGTAGGAATGTTTCCTGTCACAACCTAGAGAAACAAAAATGATACAAACGATTCACATAACTTCTAACTCACTTTACCTGTTCTGGAATCTACTGTCTTGCCCTCAACTTTCACACTGAAAATTAGCCAGCGCCAGCTAACTGCCTGGAAAATAACATTCAATGAATGAAGCTGAGTGAGAAGGAAAAGTTTCTCCAGGGCTTTCAAAGATTCCATGCTACTGACTCTCCATACACAAATAGCGTGTGTGCACACATACCAAGAAGGACACAGATTAAGCTTACACTACACCATCCCTTTGTTCCTTCCCATCCCATACCATCTCCAGTAAGTGCAGAAGGCTTCAGATGCAATAGCAGAGGGTACAGGGAGGAAGCAAGGGAGCTATGAAAGGCAGCTAGGAGAGTTCTTCCTCTTCTCCATCAACTGCCAATTTAATGAACGAATGCAATACACAGCTGGCATTGGGATCTCAATTCAAAATTGGTAAGTTTAGTTAAAGTAACTAAAAATAATCAAAACTCAATGGTATTTTGAGAACCTCATCATAAATACCTGATCACTTATAAGCATTTCTTGAATTTTAATGTCTTCTTCTTCTTCACCTATGTTCTGCAATATGGTAAATCGCAAACATTCCATAAATGCCGATGAGATTGCAGAGCACTCTGAACGGCTAGTTGTAGCTCTTTCAGTCAACATGCTAGGCAAGCACAAAATTCAGAAACAGAATGAACTGCATTACTGACTTCATATTAAAGTATCAATGTTTAAAATGTAACTACTGATTTTACAAAGCACTACAATACTAATTAGAAATTAAGTATGGAAAAGTAACAATGTAGTTAACAGTATAAAAGGTAAAGGTTCCCTTGCTCGAAAGCCAGTCAAATCCAACTCTAGGATTGCAGTGCTCATCTCTATTTCAAAGCCGAAGAGCCACTGCTGTCCGAAGACGTTTCCGTGGTCATGTGGCCGGCATGACTAAACACCAAGGCGCATGGAACGCTGTTACCTTCCCACTGAAGTGGTACCTATTTATCTACTTGCAATTTCTTGCTTTCGAACTGCTAGGTTGGCAGGAAGTTAACAGTATACGGAAATGTAAACTCTGAAACCCAGATTAGAAAAACTAAAACAGCAAACTTAAAAAAAAAAATCATCAAGACACTACGACTGACAGATACATGATATTTTAAACACTGAGGTTTGACACCTGCAGTTTTTTACATGGTTTAAATACTGTGTTCATTATTATTTCCAGACACAGAGATAAAGCAATTCTTTAAATGAATAACCAGAAATAGTTGTTCATACCCTTGAATTATGAAGGTGAAAAAGGTTCTACAAAAGTCCAGCTTTGGTTCAGTAACGTCAAGAGGTACCTTGCTAATGAAAGGTAACAGATTAGGATATATGATAGTAGCAAGACCTCGTCCTCCTTCTTGAAGTACTCTCCACAACTTTGGCAGGACCCCCTTTCTGGCATTCACATGAATCCAACAATCCTAGGGAGTAATACAACATGCATAAGACAACTGAGTGTTCTTTACTTTACTTCAGAATAGCTTCCTAATACAACTTCCAGTCTATTTTAATAAATATCTACCCAGACTGCTTTATGCCACCTGCCATACAGAAAAGGGAAACTAGAATGATAAAAGGGTTAGAACACTTGAAGGATGGATGGCTTCAAGAGGAAATTGGATAAACATATGGAGCAGAGGTCCATCAGTGGCTATTACCCACAAGGTATAGATAGGAACTCTCAGTCTGGGGCAAGTGATGCTCTGTATTCATGGTGCTTTGGGGGACAGAGTGTTGGACTGGATGGGCCACTGGCCTGATCCAACATTGGCTTCTCTAATGTTCTTATGTTCTTAAAATTCCAATCTGTTGAATTTAGTTCAAATTAGCAATTAAATCTATTCAGATATAACAATCTGGTTTCTCATTATGGGAACAATATTTACAAGTCCTTGGGTTTCTGAACTTCCATTCCATCTCTCCTTACCTGCGCCTCAGAGGCTGAAAACTTCTTGATTCCTGAGAATCCACCGTTTGTTGTGATGTCTGAACCAGACAAAACTTTGGTTTGTTCTCTTGCCCTCAAACTAGGATTTTAAACTATGGCATGTTGTAATGTATGAGTTCAGCCAATATTACAGATTCTAAAAAACATCTGAAAAACTTAGATCAATTTTAAGTGCGCAGATGTTCTAAGCAGAACCCTCACTGACCTCTCTTACAGATCTTGATCTATCTGACCTCTCTTCAGAAAGATTGAAGAATATAGTCACATTTGTTTTGGACCCAAGTCTCCATAAATAGAGGAAGTTTTTTTGTGCATCTCCCTCTCCTCAATACTTTCCGTTACCCCCGTAAAGTTGCTGGCATGGGGCCAGAAGTCCCCTGAAGAAAAACGGCAATCAGCACAGGGAGCTACAGAAAGAAAAGGAAATCAACCACCACCACCCTGTAAACCTTTGTTCATGGAGCTTTTTCCACTCATACTTTCTCTCCTTCTCTCTTTACTTTCTCTCCTTCTCTCTTTCTCATGAGGCACAAAGGTCTTTAACAACTGTTATAAGAACATAAGAAGAGCCCTGCTGGATCAGACCAATGGTCCATCTAGCCCAGCATCCTGTCTCAAACAGTGGCCAACGAGTTCTTCTGGATGGCCAACAACAGGGCAGAGTGGCCGAAGCCTTCCCCTGATATTATTATTATTTATTAAATTTATTAATCGCCGAACCCTGTGAATGGGCTCTGGGCAATTTACAATGTTAAACAGATAAAATATAATCATCATATTAAAATTATCACAATACATTACTAAAACAACTAACTCAAACAGGACACAGTATTTTGTTCCAAGACACTGAAAGGTTGGACAACACTTTCAATTACCATGTCAGATTACACAGGGAAGCCACTGAAATTCACAAACAAACAGAATTTCAACAGGAAAGAAGAGAGTTTAAAAATAAATAGAACATGGCTTCCTGTTCTGAAAAACACAAAAGGCTTTACATCAGACAATAGCACTACAGATAAGATTAGAATTTCAACAACCTGCTCAAGAAGCGGGAAACCTCCTCAGGAAACAAAAGAACCTCCTCAGGAAAGCTCCTCCATTAGCATGTCCATAGCCTGGGGAACTCCTACAAGACAATGACTCAGCCCTACCCACCTTCTGGAGTAGATATAAATTTACTGCCGACCATTTTCTTCTCACCTTGACACAGAGAGTATTCCATCTTTCTGTGTTTATACCTCTGGGGATGCCAGTCACAGTTACTGGCGAAGCGTCAGGTTCTACAATGCCAAGACAACGGCCACACATCCCAGAAAATCTACAGCAACTAACTCAGATGACGATCAACTCCTTTTGCTGGGCTTCAGTGCTCTCTGCACAGCAAGGCAGGGAAGGGGACACGGGGGCCATAGGAAGAAAAGGAGGGTTGCTGCCCTCAGCTAAAAACCTGGCGTAACATCTCTGCCTTACAGGCCCTGCCGAATTGTATAAGATCCCGCAGGGCCCTGATGTTGTTCAGCAGAGAGTTCTACCAGGTTGAGGCCAGGACCAAAAAGGCCCTGGCCCTAGTTGAGGACAGCCAGACCTCCCTAGGGCCGGGGATCACCAGTAAGTTGTTATCCACTGATCTCAGCATTCTTCTGGGGACATATCGGAGGAGGCAGTCCCGATGGTACGTGGGTCCCTAATAATGTTGCCTCCTGGCTCTGGGATTCAGAGGCTTAGTGCCTCTGACTGGAGGTTCCCCTCAGTTACCATGGCTAGTAGCCCTCGATGGACCTATCCTCCAAAAGACCAAAGGAACCTTGCTACTATGTCCTCCCACATCGTAAGTAATGACTTACTTAAGACTGTTAAGCAAATTAATCATAAACCTATTGATCAAAGTGCTTTTTTCCCCAAAAGAAAAATCAAAGTTCTAATTCACTGTGATGGGTGTCTCTGCACATTATTATGCTGTAGGAGCAGCATAACTATCCTTAAACTCATCTGAGAAGTTCAATGGCTATAAAATAATTAAGCCTTTTTAATGTGTATATGCACATATGTACTAGATTGTACTAGAAAGAAGTATGTTTACTAGATACCCAAAGTCAGTTTTCAGAAGCACAGACTGAAAGATGAGCAAGTTCCAGATAAATGCAAGAACTAACCCCTCATTCTGCCTCTTGTGTTACCTCAATGGTTGCAAGGACATGAAGCACAGCTTCCCAAAGAGCAGGGCATACAATAGCATCACTGTCATCAATGCTGAGAAGAACTGCTGGGCAAACTCTTGATGCTTCAGCTTTCACTGATTCAGGAACATATTGGCAAAGAGCAGAAATTAGTTCAAAGAAAGCTGAACGGACCTAGAGTACAAAAGAGAAGGGCTAAATGAAATCTTGCTGAACCATGTCTATAAAATTACAAACATTTGGCATTTTCATAATATATAAAGCTTGTTAAAATCAAAGAACAAGAAACATTTCATTAAGTATTAAGCCTTCCTATAGAATGCTGAATACATTCACTCAAGCCACAGGCCACAAAGCACTTCAGTTAAATCTATCCCTAACTGAAGCAACTGCTGTGCTGATTACAACCATAAATAAACTCAGGAGCTTTACAAGGTTTACAGGATGTTACATTAAAGATAACAGGCAATATGAACCTCAAGAGTGACACACTGCTCTAAACATTCATTAATTCATTCATTTATTACTTTGATTTCTATCCCTCCCTCCCCACAAGTGGGCTCAGGCCAGTCAGTCACATAAAGATCGTGACTACAATAGATAGAAGTTTAACAATAAAATCAATATTAAAACCAGAGGGAGCTGGCCTTGATAACAGAGCTCAGATGGAAGCATTTCAGAGTGGCACCACTGGATAATTAGTAGATTAAAAAATCAGCAGTGTCAGCAAGGGAGGCCTAGATGGATTTGAACATCTGATGCCTCAACTGAAAGCCCGGCCTGGATCGAGGCGGGTCGGCACTGCTGTTACCGTGTTGAATGTTGCTGTTAAGTCAAGAAGTAACAGCAGTGCCGACCCGCCTCGATCCAGGTGTCTCTGAAGGTCATCCCCGAAGACAACCAGTGCAGCCTCTGTTCCATGGCCAGGGCAAAAGCCAGACTGGAAGGGGTCCAGGATAGTAGCATCATCTAGGAAAACCTGGATTTGAGAGGTCAAGCGATGTTTTCCACAGTAGAGCGGTTTGAGAATTTGAACATACAAACTGAATGCCTGTGGGGAATCACACTTGAGGGAGGGAGAGGATAAACAGTTCAACAATCACACCAACTGCCCCATCCCACAGCTGTTTCAGCACTTGAAAATGCAAAGGGGAGGAGAAACAAGAGTACCTCAGCCTCTAGGGCTGGGCCCTCACAGCATTTTCAAATCTCTTTAAAATGGCATTGTCATCCACAGCTTGGACTATGGGTGCTGTCACATCAGTTTTGGCCCTTAATTACAAAAATGGGCGATTTCTAACTTGCATCTGCCTGCAAACCACTCCCCTCCAGTCTAGAGATCCTGGAACATTAGGTAGACAGATGTGTATGGTTAGTGAGTAGTGAAGAAAAAAAGCACTCTACACATGTGAAGGGTGTATTTGGTCTCCGCAATCAGATACCTGATTATTATTAGCACAGATATATTGAGATCATATAAAGATTATATTTTTCTGCAGTGGCAGATGAGACTTAAGACTGCCAGAATATTATGCCCTTGCAGCCTTTCTCCTTCTACAGTAAAGTACTTGCTTTTTCTATAATGAAAGGTTCCAAAATTTAAACTTCACAAAGCATTATGCTTCTTTAGTTCTTTAGTCCCAATCCCGGGGGGGGGGGGTTGAGAGGAGAAAGAGCAGCAGTTTGACAGTGGGTATTCACTGGCAAGTAAAAGGCGTTCTGTGCATGTTCAGAAGTAAGCATTGCTTTACACAGACAAGTTGCAGTAAAGTACTTTGCAATTACTGATCAAAACCACCAGACTGATTGAAATTAGGCATTCATTTTTTTTTGCCTCCCTACCCCCTATGACCTACCTGGTCCTGTGACAAACAGAGTAGGCAACCCAGTTTTCTGATCAATGTTTTCACTTAGCATTGTGAATATTAAAGAGGGCAGAAACCAGGAAGACAGAAGCAAAGGACCCTAAACAAAAATGTTATACAGCATAACAGAAAATAATAAATTTAATCTGCACCAGCCTTCTTAAAATGTTTCTTCCCACATTCCTTCCCATGTTATCCACACAAAACCATGTACATTTCCTCATGAAAGCATAACTGATGCTCTATCGTAAAGGTCTGGTTTGAAAAGAAACTTGAATGAATGCAAAAGAGGGAGGTAATACCTGGGGAGTATTGTGCTTCCCATATTTCCAGAACTTGGTTTGAGACAGTAGAGGCTTAAGTTTCTCTTCCAGTAAGCAATTCTCACTACTAGGCAATACACAGAGCAGTTTCTTTAAAGCTAGCAAAGAACATGTTAAAATTCGAAAGAATTTGGCTTCCCTTTCTTCCTCGGGCACAATTCTAAAAGAAAAAAATGAATATACAACTTTGTAATTCAGTTAGCAACATTGCCACAGTATTAGTTCTACAAATAAATAATGTAAAGGGTGCTCTTCTGAGAAGAGAACTGCTCTGATTCAACAGTTCTTGGTGAGCAAGAAAATTACAACGTACACAAAGAACTCTCAATTCACTTCAGTGAATTCACACACAAAATGGGCAGGCCTGTCCTTTCTAAATCCAGTGGGAAAGCCTCTTAGTGTGGGAGCCAAGTGTGTGCACACAGAGCTAGAGAATGGGAAATGTAAAGTACTGGGTTCGCACATGGAGACTCAGACTACAACATGCTAACTAGACGCGTTTATTGTACTTCACAACAAGAGAACCCACACAGACAGGCAAGGGCCAACTATATACACTCCACCCAGGCACACCCACAGTTCCATTGGGGGAGTTTGGATTTCCCCCCAAGGTACTATTGGAGGATTCAGGGTGGTCTAGGATCCTTGGTCCCTATTGTATTTGGAACCAAGCTAAGGACTGAGGCCACAGACACCTAGTGGTGGTCCGCAGACATAACAGGAAAAATGCTTCCTCTCATCTAGCATGACAGAATTAGAGCACACTATCTTTCTTATTTTCAAGAAACACCATCAGTTTTACAAACTTACTGAAATTAACACAACATAATACACTTTATTACTTTCCATCCAACAATTAAATGTACATACTGTGGATCACTTAGTGTATCTGGTGTTTCTTTTAGAAGATGATCTTGTAGCACCTGGACAACAACAAAGCATTTAATGATATGAATAGGAAAAACCCGTACTCAGAAAAAGAAATTCATAGAAGTAATACATTTTAGCATTCTGTTCAATGTTACACTTTTCAAACTGTAAATAATGGTCAAATGAATCTTTAATAAAGTCTATATTTTTCTTATTTAAAGACATTCTTCTACCCATGATGACAGCAGCACCAGTATTTCCTAAAAGAGGTATATTTGTTAAGAGCTCAGGGCAGCAGACATGTTTTCTCCTCTGCCATTTTATCTTCGTATCTACTCTGTGAGTGGTTAGGCTGAGCAAGAGCAAGTGACTCAAACCCAGTGTTCTTCACAGCTCCTGTGCTAACAGCATCAACCAATAATTAAGGTCAAAGACTATAAGTGAATTTGTGGAACCATTGTTAGTGGTGTCTGCAGCACAGCACCTCCTCCTCTTCCTTCCTGTCTTCTTGGAACTATCCATTTGGATTGTCTGCTTTTTTTGTTGTTTTCACAACATCTGCAAGTTATAGAATCATTTAAGTATGAAATAATCTAAGGGCAACATAAACATTAAATATCAGAACCCCTAAGGATTCGTTGCTTTCAAACTGCAAAATACCATCTACTTAAAGCTCTAAAACAGCCATACAAAATGGGAAACTCACATTCAGAATTTCACCTTTACAAAAGATTAAGGCTTCAGGTTGCTTGCTTGGTGGAAAAGCTTTTTCAAATGCCACTTTAGCTGCTGATGCAGCTGGAGAATAAGTATCACACTGAGCTATCAGCCAGTATCCCATGAGACTTTTTAAATGAGGAGCCAAATTTTTCTTAACTTTCAGAATAAGCTGCTCAAAAGCTTGTTGTGTTGCTTCTCGGACCCGGCGATCATGATCCTGTAAAAAATGTTGAAAATATATGTATTTGCCACATTTCCCTTCTTTCTGAGTCCTCCTAAACTCCCTGTAAAATTTGCTCTTGAAGGTCAGGAAACCTTGAGAACGGGGTTGGATATGGTACAGGGGGCTGCAGTAAGAAATTCCCCCCTCTCCCACTCTTATGTAAGCTCCTGATCTTCTTGTATAAAAATTCATGCAAAAGCCAGGATAAAGTTATTTCTGCCAATTCCCCTTTTTAACTGCAGCCCCACTGCCATATCCCATGCTACCTCCAAGGGTCTCTACCCTCTCTAGAATAACTTTTTGGGGACACAGAGGCTACAGAAAGAAGAGAAAGGCAGCAAAGATCTCTTCCACAAGCTACACTTTACTTAGGATTGTCTAGATCAGGTATGTCCAACAGGTAGATCGCGATCTACCAGTAGATCACGAAGTGGTCAGAGGTAGATCACCAGTCCCACTTGGTCTCCTGGTTTGCTGGACAGGTGTTTGGGGTTTTTTTTATGATTGTTTGGTGGTTCTTTCTGGATCTTTGTCTCTCTGTTTTGTTTTTGCTCATTTTGCTTACCAGTAAATGACAGAAGGGGCCGGTGGAACCCAACTTTAGTGGGTTAAAATCTAATTTGAAACTTTATTTTCATGGTGGTAGATCACCGGCAGTTTTGGCTGGAAAAAACAGATCACTACCTGTTTGAAGTTGGACATGCCTGGTCTAGATCAAGCTTCTGGGTTGGATCCAGACTAAATCTTCCATCAGTGGAACAGAACTTTCCTGCCTCCCCCCTCCCACTGCTGCTCACTGATCTCTACAACATGCTGCTCCTGAAGGACTCTGAGGAGCCACATGGAGAGGGGTCTGTGGCAAGAAGAGAACATTAATAGATCCAGCCGTTTTAATATATAATCCAGTTTTTACTGACAAATATAGAAACTATCTGCAACTGTATTTATTATTTAAAAATTAAGACATACAAAACAATGTAAGCTTTCCTACACTGCCCTGTAAATATAACAATAAAACAAAGTGGTTCTTTTCTAGGCTTTAAACATTCTTTAAAGCAATCAACCTGTCAAAAAATACAATTAAATGAACCACTGATTACTTTGCCAATTATTGTGATAAATTTTGAGAGACACAGTGTGGTCCAGGTTTGCCATAATCTGTCAATACTTACAATGGATATTTTACAATAAATTCTAGACCAGTAAGGCAGAACTCCTTTAACAGTCTCTGTTTCTCTCTCTTTACACATTGTCCCAAATTCCTGCATAGCCTAAAAGTAAAAACAAAATTTTAAGAATTTACAAGATTTTTTAAAAAGCAAGCTGATAATTTATGAAGCTTTCCACATGTCTATGGATATATTGATTACTTTATAAAGTGAACTCATTTCATCTGACTGACTTGCTTCCACAGCAGTGTTTCTGTGAGTGCAAAGACTTTCACAAGCAGAACACAATGTTCCAACCTCACATTGTTCCATGGCAAACTGAAATACCTTCAAATCCTGTTTCTAGGGGACTGCCTGAAGCAGGATGGGGGTGGGGATTTGGTGTACCCCAAAGAGGGGGGAGGCAGGCTAAAATCTTTGCTCCCAAAGAAGTGCTGCTCTGGATCCAAGCTATTAATTCTGGATATACAGCATTAAAATCTGTGTACTTGATGTCACATCTATTTTCATCAGGGCTGGATAATAATTTTACAAGACAAGTATAGGAAGGGCTATTAAATATTTTTCCCCACTTCAGATATTACGGTTTACTAAGAAACACATAATATATAATCCGGAGACAAAGTGTGCAATTTAATGAAAGGCATCTCATGGAAATTTCAAAACATTACCATTACTTTTCCTTGTATATTTCATTCTTTGTACACATAAGTCTTAAGGAGGAGGAGGTTGGATTTATACCCCGCAACACAACAAAGGAGTCTCAGAGTGTCTTATAATCTCCTTTCACTTCCCCTCCCCACAACAGACACCCTGTGAGGTAGGTGGGGCTGAGAGAGCTCTCCTGAGAACTGCTCATGAGGGAACAGCTCTGAGAAAACTTGTGACTGACCCACGGTCACACCAGCAGATGCATGCGGAGAAGTGGGGAATCAAACCCAGTTCTCCCAGATTAAAGTCCGTGCTCTCAACCACTACACCAAATTGGTGTAATAATTAAAAACAATAAATATATATATGCTTCTTTAAAATCCAAGGCGACTAAAAATATAAAAATAGAAGTCCAGTGACACCTTAAAGACTAACCAAATTTTGGCATGAATTTCCAGGCAACAACCCAAGTTTAGCCACTATGGCACCAAGATAATTGCAAGCAAACTGAACAAATTGCTTAACCCTACAATGCAAACACATGTGTACAAAACTGAAAATGAAAATAAAAGTGTACAAATGATTTCTCATCTCTTTTGTCTATAGGTACTTTAAATGATGAACCTTTAAAAACTGTGCAACAGGCCTACCTTTAATTTGGTTATAACATCTCTTTTGGAAAGTTTTCGCAGCACCATTCGAAAGTCAGCATCTACAAGGCTATCTATTTCTTCAGCTCCTTGAACTGCAGGAACATATCCTAGATCGCCAGGAGACGTGCCAAAGCCAATAAACCCAGAAACAGTTCCTCGTTCTTTGGCCAGAAGTTCTGCTGCTCTACCACTGCTAGAGGGCTGTTTTTAAAAAGAAAGGGATTACATTTACAACACATTACTAAAGTTTACATTTACTGAAAACCTTCTTTAGTTTTATCTTTGTGTCCAAGACCTACAATTCTGCATCTTATGACCTGCTTGCCTGCCTTTGGGCATCTCTTTTTGCTTTAAGTAACAGGACCAGCTAGCTGTCCTGAATAGCTTACCGTAGGGGGCACTTACCAGAACATTTTAAATGTGTCCTCTAGTTACACTGCTGCTTGTTCAAAGTTTTACCTGCCATTTATTTCTGCTCTCATATGTTTCCCTTGAATTGTACATTTGAGATAATTCCAGAGCAGCCAAGAATACATGCTGTTGTAGCACAAAAAAGGCTGCATTCAGATGTCAAGAACAAGCCACAATTTGTTCCTGATGTACATGAATCTCAAGTCTGATTCATTCTCAGGTCTGCACATTTCCTTCAGTCCCCCCCTCCCCCCGCCGCCACCCATGGATCCACAATTGAAAACCTCCTGATTCAAAATAATCAAAATGGGGCATCCAAATTTGACGAGCATAACTAATTTGGATTAGTTTTTTTCCCCTAGTAACTGAGATTCTAACCCAAGGGAACCCAGAGAATAAAACTAGCATTTGAGGCTTATTCACATCATAAAGAAATCATGGTTGGTTTGTGATAAATGAATGCAGAGAAAGAGTTGTGAGGCACCTTAAAAGGCCACAGGAAAAGTGCCAAGAGACTCTTCCGGTTTTTTTAATGTTTAGTACTGGTTCCGTCTTATAAAACTGTTGAACTCTGGTCCTCCACACATTTCTGCCATACACACACATATACATGTACATATATACACACAGAACCACATACATACATAACCACTGCTGCCAACCACATTCAGCTACAGGTGGGATAGACACAATCATAAGAGAACTTGTGTGCTTTCAGATGTTTGTGCATAGGCTTCTGATGAATAAGTGGATGCTGGGGTGAGACAAGTGGATATGTCCTTAATTCTTTCTTTATATGCCCATTCCCTCCACAAATAAATGTCTGAAATCTGAACAGGGCTTTGTTACCCTCTTATACTCTCCCTCAGCTGACTTTCCAGATGTTATCTTTTTTTTGCTTATATCACAGTCACAGCCAACTTATGGCGACTCCATACGGTTTTCAAGTCAAATGATTAAGCAGAGGCGGTCCATCATTGCCTTCTTCTGCAAAGTTTTCCTTGGTGATCTCCCCTCCACGTACCAACCCTGTTTAGCTTCCGAAATCTATACTATACCATTCCACATATCTTCTTAACAATTACAACGCTTTTATTAACTCAGTCAGAGTTATATAGACTTTTGGTTAGGATCATATCAAGGTAAAAGTTAGAAACAGCAGAAAAGGCTTTCCTAGGCCCCGTTCGCTGCCTCTTTTTCTCTTCCTGTCACCTGCCAGTCCCCCTCCCCTCCTCGCACACCGTATTTAGGAGGAGTGCTGTGGGAATGGATGCCGACACGTGTTAGTAAAAGGTAACTGACAAGACACCACCGCGTTTCACACTTCTGCTGCCTCCGCCTCTTAGCGGAAGGGCTGCCACGGTTAGCCAGAGTTTCCTCGCAGCCTGGCCAAATGTTCCCCCCTCCCCTGCCCAAGGACTTGACAGCGAAAGGAGGCCTTCCAGCCCGGAGAGGAAGAGAAACACCAGCCAGCCCCGCCTCGCAGCCCTACTGACTGCCTCACCCGCACGTTGCCCTTCGTCCGCTGCTTATTCTTGCCCCCCATGGCCGCGGCAGCGTTGTAACCAAACGAGGAGCCCAGCCGGCCAGAGGAAGAGAGACGGGGTTTCCGGGTCAGATGGACGAAGCGAAAGGAATTATGGAGAAGCCGCAGAAGTCTCCTCCCCTCCTCGCCGCTGGCGGAGCCACTGAGACGCGTTTTCTGACGGCGGTGAGCTGACAGGCTCTAAACAGCCGGTTTGGACGCTCTTTCCGGTTGCAGTGGCTTTTTTTAGACCCTTGAAAAACGTAGATCCCATGTCCAACAAAAAAGAGTTACGGAGTTTTATCCAAATATGCCCCTTTATCGTCTTTCCAAGGAGCTCAAGGTTGCTTTCAATGAACTCATTTATTTACTCTCATTATTAGAGTCTTCCTTTCTCACCGAGAATCAAGGAGGATTACAAAATAATATAACAATGGTTTAACACCCCTACATTGGCACTTTTATTTCCTGGAAAAGATGAAGAGGAGATTGGATTTATACACCGCCCTTCACTCGGAGTCGCAGAGCGGCTTACAAACTCCTTTCCCTTCCCCTCCCCACAACAGACACCCTGTGAGGTAGATGGGGCTCAGAGAGCTGTTTCAAGAGCTGCTCTTTCAAGAACAGCTCTGACAGAATTATGGCTTGCCCAAAGTCATCCAGCAGCTGCAAGTGGAGGTGTGGGGAATCAAACTGGTTCTCCCAGATTAGAGTCTGTGCACTAAATAAATCATCTGAAGTTGGAGGTAGTTTACACAATAATTTGTTCACCAAATCTCACTTTTTAAAACAGCAACTCATCGGTGCGGGTGCTTCTTTGGTTCTCCTGTTCCAACCAATAGGCACAGAGGTTTTACATATAGGATCGATAGTCTTAATAGATCAGTTATATTTTGATACCTCTGTAACTGAACAGATTTCCCAGTTTAGGACAGGTGAATTCAAACTACTGTGATAAGAAGGCTTGAGCGAGATCATTAATAGCAGCAACAGCTTGTCCACCATTATCAACCTTCCCCTGACATCTGCAAGAGAGAAGAGAACAGAGTTGGCAACCCCTAGCATGCATGCTGAACAACTGCATGCCAGTTGATTTTACTGGGCCTGCAGGGCCAGCTCTGTGCCCAGGGAACTGAGGTAGGACTCCTGAGGCATGCCATTTTTCCAGGATTATTATTTTTTTTACATTTATGCCAAATAGAGTTCTAGGGTTGCCTAGACTCCTAGTATAGGATGTATTTTACTCTCAGTTCATGCATACCCAAAATTTATTGTTATTTTACTTATAGCCCACCTTCCTCAGTGAAACTCAAGGTAGATTACACAATGTAAATCAATATAATTTAAAGCCAAATTAGACATGATATGTTAAACAATACAGAAAATCAGGGCTATTTTTGGGCAGGTATGCACAGGCAGGAATGCACAGGAATGGAGTTCCGGCTGGCGTCAGAGTTGGCCACGCCCACTGCAGCCAAAACCTCTGGGTGCATGGCTACAGAGGGAAGGCCTGGAGAGCAACCCCCCCCGCGCGACTCCAAGGTTAAATGCCTGTTATTTTACTTAACCAGCAGGAGTCACCATCAGTGTTCTCTCTAAGCTGAGTTAGTGTGAGCTAGCTCACAGTTTTTTAGCCTCCGGCTCACACATTTTTGCCTTGGCTAAGGAAGGATGGCTCCAGAGCAAACTAATTTATGCAGTAGCCAAATTGCTCACTCACAACTTTAATGCCAGTAGCTCACAGAGTAGAATTTTTGCTCACAAGACTCCACAGCTTAGAGGGAACATTGCTCTTCTTGACCACCTGACAGTGAGCTTTCCCCCCAAAAATAAAGATGTCTGTTATCTAAGGATCTATTTGCCTGACGAGGAGTCTCTAGGCATTTTACAACACAGTTATTATTGCAGAGGGCTCTCAGATAAGACAGAGACCTGATAAATACAAAATACAGGTAGGTGTGCAGCCTCAGCTGTCTTGAGGTTTGTTAGCAGAACATCCAAAAACCATGGGGAGGAGGCTACATCCTAGGCTTTTCTTGAGGGTCCAACTGCATCTGCTATATGATTGCCACAGGGACCTACAACAGGATGCCAGCTGAGCAGCCCCGTGGGAACTCAACCCAGAAGCACCACAGGGGCTTGGCCTGCATCAGGACCATGGCATCTGAGGGACACCTGCCTGCTTCCCCATGCCACAGTCCCCATCAGAATTAGCCCCCTGCAATGCCCCTGAACTGAGCCCTCATGGGGAACTTGCAGCTGATGTCCTTCCATGAGTCCCCATGGAGATCATGTAGTAGTTCTAATGTATAGTTAGAGTCCAGTGGGGCACCTTTAAGACCAACAAAGTTTTATTCAAGGTGTGAGCTTTCGTGTGCATGCACACTTCATCAGATGAAATGGAATTACATATCATAGTTGTATATATAGGAGTGGTTTGTTAAACTAGTGTGCAAAATAGTGAGGACATATAACACTGTACCCCAGGGAAAGGATTCTGTCAGTTAACTCCATGTTTTATTGAAGCAAAATGTTATTACTACTCTTAGCAATTAAGAATATAATTGAATATGTAATGTAGTTTGGAATGACAGATTTAAATGCAGTTCTTTATTTGAGGGACAAGGAAAACACTCTACACAGCCAAGATGCTGTTAAATTCACCTCCATGCTTGAAAGGAGATGGATGGGGTCTAAAGATGGGATTCTCACAAATCAGGGCACATCAATCTCCAGCTCTAACATATTTATTACCTATGTTGCTTCCCCCCACCCCAGTTGACCCAAAACAGATGATAAGCAGGAACTAAGCTTGTCATTCTTTTGATCTGTTAAAAAATGTGCCCTATTTTGCATTCTAATTTAACAAACCACTATATATACAACTATGATATGTAATTCCATTTCGTCTTATGAAGTGTGCATATACTCAAACGCTCACACCTTGAATAAAACTATGATGGTTTTAAAGGTACCATTGGACTCTAAGTTTGTTTTATTGCTTCAGACCAACACGGCTACCCACTTTGAACTAATGTATGCTTGTCAGTGTGTTGTATAAAGAATTGACTTCCAGAATGTGCCTCAGACCTTCCCAGAGTGCACTGGGTTTCTTCAGCAGACAGATTAATTTAATTCCCTGAAGACATTTTCTATAGTTGGAATCGTTTTACAAGATTAGTATTAGTCACATTTTTGTATGGGTTCCATATGCCAGAATCTGAAAAGTGGTGTTAATACATGTATACAGCAATTTCTGACTATTCCCAAATCATATGGTAAGTCAGTTGTTCTTAAGCCTGGACTCGAGAAGCACATAGCATTTTAGGTATGAGCTGTCATCCTAAATCCATTTAATTTAGTGAGGGTGGCTTGCATAGGATCAGATCAGGGTTACTGGGAATTATCTAGTATCTGAAGAAGTAATAATGCACACGAAAGCTTATACCTTGAATAAAACTTTGTTGGTCTTAAAGGTGCCACTGGAGTCAAACTTTGTTCTGCTGCTTCAGACCAACGTGGCTACCCACTGGGAATTAATGTGTTGAACAAGTCAGTTGGATTATATTATAAGCAAACAGTTGGAGTATAGAAGTGGTATTCTTAAAAATTACATCTAGAGAATGCAAATCATATAAACTGAATATACTAAATGTGGGTAATTTCTTTTATCAAAAATTACAATATCAACTGCAAATCTTCAAACCTGAGACAGATTAAATTAACACAGTAATAGGCTAGTGTGGTGCAACAGGTAAGGAGAAAGAAGAGAATGAGACTGGGTATCATAAACCAAATGTAACATGTTACTCCTCATAACTGGAAATTACTTGCAGACTGGTTGCTGAGATTTCCCTGAAATCACTGTCCTTGCTTCCAATTAAAATGTTAGGTAATAAAGTTCTTAGTAATGTTTTGTTGGAAAAAATTCAGATCAAAAGGAAAAAACAAGGAAGTCTGATCAACTCTCATTTAATGTTCCATGGATTTCCCTCAGTTGCTTGCCTATTGTCCTTCAACTCCAAAGTACATTTGAAAGATATCAGCACATCTGTTATCAACTAAAAAATGATACAGTTGTCCTAGATCCATGTGGTTTCCCCTGGCACCATGTGCATCAAATATTTTTTCTTCAAAACGTGAAAATTTCCTTTGTTTCTCCATTTCATCTTCAGTCCCCTCTAAGGAAATGTCCTCTCTGTGGCGAATTAAAATTCGTTGCCATGACAATCTTCTGATTCTAAAGATAATGAGATAATCACAAATTCAAAAGCACAGTAATCATGGTCCAGATAAAGTAGCCATGACTATGCCCAAGTGAACCAAAGAAAACATGTGAGTCGCAATTAATGTAAATCTCATTGCTTTCAGTGGAATTATGTATTGCATATCTCAGCATATTTACTTGGAAGTAAATCTCAGTAAATCTAATGAGGCTAACTCCAAGAAATTATGTAAACTGTAATAGTATAGACCTGAACAGAGAATAGTAACTCTGGAGTAGTAAGAGACTGTTCATTGAGGCTGGAATAAAGTTTGTAATACTCAGTGAACAGTCTCTTACTACTCCAGAGTTACTATCCTCTGTTCAGGTCTATACTATTAGTTTGTAATACTCAGTGAACAGTCTCTAGTTTACATAATTTGTAATTGGATTACTTAGATATATAAGAAAACTACATAAAGGATGGCATTTTTACTATTTTGATATTTGTTTCACAGTTCCAGTTGTTGTTGGGTTTTTACTGTGAAGCTCATTTCTGTGCTACTATATCACTGTCCAAGCAGGGCAATGAGCTTAGACTGGAACAACTCTGCATAAGATGCACTTAGTTATGACTAACTGATATGGGCTAGAACTAAGTTTGAGTCCAGTGGCCTCTTTAAGAGGGTGGAGGGAAGAATTCATAATATATGTATTTGTTTGGATTGTCCCTCCTGAAATTTTCCATGTTTTACTATGTATTTGGCTTTATATTTATTTAATATGAACCATTATAGTTAACGAATTGCAGAAGAACTTTAAATTCAATATATAACATACGAAGAACAAACCTTGCCCAAAACTCCTCACACATGGTCTGTGGGCCTTCTACACAAATAATACCTGGTTTCCCAGGCATGCTGAATCCAGATAGATTAAGTTCCTTAGCCCAGTCAACTATATTCTTTCTTTTTTGCTTGTTGTAAATGTGATGACTGTAAATCCAGAGTCTAGTGAAAATATCTTCTGATCTTTTAACATCTGATTTCCCCCCAGAGGAAGATGAGAGATCCTTGTTGATATAGGCAGCAGCATGATCTTTAACCCATTCTCTAGCATTTAATATGCAAACATCATCAGCACAGTTTTCCTTCAGGTAAGCTAGGAGATCTGTGTTTAGCTGCATCTGCTGTGATCGGCTTAGGGATGAAGATCTGGAAGAGAAAGAGTGCATAATATAGAGAAGAGAGGAAAGTTTAAGGGATAGACTTTCATCAATAAACAGTTACAATGGCAGCAGGAACTACAAAAGATTTACATAAAATCTACTCAGTATGTTGAACAGAGAAAGGAAATTGATTAAATTTAAATTGATTAAACCCTTATTTGGTTTCACGTGTGACGTACTTATTTTAACAGTACCCTTAGATACGGAGATCCTGAATGTGCAGACACTTACAAATATGTTTACTTTGAGGTTACTGACCCTAATATATTTAAAACATGAAATCTTACTCCAATCGTTAGGATCTTTATATTACACAGGGATAGCAAATATGGACATCATATCACGGTTATCCAACATCTCTCCATATTGAAACCTGTAGTACCTGATAGTTACTTCTGGAAGAACAGCTGGGTACTTAAATGGAAATGCGCAGGACAAAGAAAACTCAGCCTAGAAAGAGATTTTAAACAGAAGTTACTAAAAATTTAGTTTCAGTTATCCTACTTACTTCTTTTAGAACAAGAAGAGCATATTACCTTATCACCACCAGGTGTATCTAATTCTAATTTCAGCATAAATTGTATTTTTGAAGATGGCACTTCCAGTGAACATCTTTCAACAAGATCCTTTAGTTCTGCTAAAGCGAGTTGATCAGTGACCTTAAATTCATCTTCATTAGGAAACATACTAGAGAGCAAATCTAACTCAGAAAGTTGTACTTCAGCTTCTTCCAAATTGCTCATTTTTGTTTATGTGATTCCTGAACAAGGAAGAGGAGAAATAATTTTAGTACTTGCAACTGCTAATCCTATATACAGCTATATCTGAAGGAAGAGATTTAAATCATCAATGATTCCAAAATACTGATAATCATAATTATTGTAGTATATTGTACCTCGGGCTACCTTGGAAAACTTTTCAGACATTTAGTCCAGAAAATAGCAACAAGGTTATTAATGAGGACATATTGTAAAATATATTTGTTCTAAGATAGGGGTGTCGAACTCATTTGTTATGAGAGCTGGATCTGACATAAATGAGACCTTGTTGGGCCGGGCCATGTGTGTCATAAAATGTAATGCCAGGTAGCAAAGATATAAACTTTATAAAGGACCCAAACACAAAGGTTTTTTTTAACTTAAAATAAAACATCCTTAAAACATTAGCACTTTTACAATATTTTGTTTATTTAACAGTGTCTGATAACTGACACCTCTTGCTCTGATTTATTACATCGAAATGCCTGTGTTGTTGCAATCTTGAGTATGCTGTTCAGGTGTGTATCTGTAAGCTGCAAACCTACAATGATGCAGCAGCAGCAGAACTGGAAGAAGAAGCAGAAGACAGCCAGTTCCACTGGGGGCCTGATAGAAGCTCTCCAGAGGCCTGATCCAGCCCCCGGGCCGCATGTTTGACACCCCAGTTCTAAGAGCCATACATCGGAAACTGATTTGTTTCCAAGTGCAATTCGAAGTGCTGATTTTGACTTTTAAAACCCTGAGCAGTCTGGGATATCTGGAATACCACCTTCTTCTTTATCTGAATCAGAAGTGCTTCTGTTGTTCCCACATCCATAAGACATGAAGCACATGAAGATTATTGAGAAAGCTTTTTTAGTTGCAGTGTACACCTATAGAATGTCCTCTCCAAAGAGGATTGCTTGGAAAGTTTACTAATGGTTTAAGATGTCAAACAATTATCCTTTTGTTCTTTTCTGGGGTTTTTTGGTTGATTTTAAAATATTGTTTAATTCTTCTAGTTATTTGATATTGAATTTATATTCACTGCTGTTTTACTTTGATTATTATTATTTATTTATTTTACATTCTGATGGTTAACTGTTTTGGACAGTTTTAATATGAAAACTCACAGAATTCCCACAAAAGGGTATCTGCATTCCAATCCCATGCATATTTATTCAGTAATAAAACTCTTTGTGTCCAGTAGGGTACCCTTGCACAGCTTTGTAGCATTAATTATATATCAAGTCTTTCCTCTTGACAGCATAATAAAAAGTAGAGACATCACCCTGCCAACAAAAGTCTGTATGGTCAAAGCAGTGGTATTCCCAGTAGTACTGCATAACTGCGAGAGTTGGACTTTAAGGAAGGCTGAGCGCCAAATAATTGATTCTTTTGACTTATGGTGCTGGAGAAGACTCTTGAGAGTCCCCTGGACTGCAAGATCAAATCAGTCAATCCTAAAAGAAATCAACCCTGACTGTTCTCTGGAAGGCCAGATACTGAAGCTGAAGCTCAAATACTTTGGCCACCAAATGAGAAGGGAGAACTCATTGGAGAAGACCCTGATGCTGGGAAAGATTGAAGGTCAAAGAAGAAGGGGACAGCAAAGGATGAAACGGTTAGACAGTGTTATCGAGGCAACAAACATGAAATTAAGCAAATTCCAGAGCACGACAGAAGACAGGAGGGCCTGGCGTGATGTGATCCATGGGGTCGCGAAGAGTTGGACTCGACTGTGCGACTGAACAATGACTACAAGCCTTCCCTATTTCAAAAGCTCTGAGAAAAAACATCACAGTAACATCAAATATGTATCTTTGGCACCAAATGAAATAACTACAAACAAAAACTTATAAGCAAATAGCACAAATAAAATTATCTTGTAAACTTGGGAATAAACATAGTGCAAAAAGAACCTAAAATACAACCACCACCATCCCGCCATCACTTAGGTCTTCTCTATATGGAGAGTTCATCATGTCGGTAACTACTATCCAGTCTCAAATGTTCCATTCCCAAGCAAGGTGACTGAATGGGTGACTGCACAACTTCAAGTTTTCCTGGATGAGGCAAACCATTTAGATCCTTTCCAATCTTGGTTTAGGCCTGGTTGTGGACTGAGACAGCATTGGATGCCCTGGAGGAGAACGTGCTCCGGGAGATGGACAGAGGGAGTGCAGCTCTGTTGATTTTCCTGACCCGATACCATCAATCAGGATATCCTTCTGGACTCAACTCTATCTCATGCTTCCAGCTGATCCCATGGAGGCTGAAGCAATGCTGGAAGCAGTTTTGGAGTGGATGCGGGCTAATAAACTCAAACTTAATAAAAGCAGGATAGAAGTGCTACTGGCAAGCAGAAGGTTTGACCAGGGTTATAAAGTTATACTGTTCTGGGGCACTCCACTTGAAGGAAATATGTTCATAGTCTGTGGATGCTAGGACTCCTGTGGACCTAGGACTCCTGCTGGATAAGCAGGTGGCAGCTCTGGCCAGGAATACCTCTTATCCGCTTCATCTAGTTAAGCCAGCTGCAGCCTTTCCTGGCTATTGTGGTGTATAACCTGGTTACATCTAGATTAGATTACTGTGCTGTGTTCTACATACAGCTGCTCTTGAGAAGTGTTGTTGCTCAGGGGTGGTCTTTTTGTTCCTTGTTGCTGTGGTTCTGCGAGCTGTTGGGGCTGGAATCTGGCTTGTCTTTCTTGTGGGGCTGTTGTGGTTACCTTTGGAGCCCTGCTTCAGGTGCCCCCACCTTCTGCAATTAGGCAGGTGGCAATCAAGGAGAGGGCCCTCCTAGTCATGGCACCAAAAAATCTTGAACTCTCTCCCCAGGGAGATTAATCTGTCCTCTTCCATTGCCATCTGTTGCTAGTGGGTGAAGATTTTTTGTTTTGTTTGGCACTCCCCAGTGATTCCTCCTTCCTGCCCAATGTTTTAACTGTTTTTTATGTCTATGGATATATTGTAGTTCTGGCTTTAATCATTTTAATGATTGGTTGTCTTCTTTTGGGTTAACATAAGAACATAAGAGAAGCCAATGTTGGATCAGGCCAATGGCCTATCCAGTCCAACACTCTGTCACACAGTGGCCAAAAATACCACGTGCCATCAGGAGGTCCAGCAGTGGGGCCAGGACACTAGAAGCTCTCCCAATGTTGCCACCCGCCCCCCAAGCACCAAGAATACAGTGCATTACTTGGCCCAGACTGAGAGTTCCTATTTATACCTTGTGGCTAATAGCCACTGATGGACCTCTGCTCCATATGTTTATCCAATTCCCTCTTGAAGCTGTCCATGCTTGTAGCCGCCACCACCTCCTGTGGCAGTGAATTCCATGTGTTAATCACTCTTTGGGTTGGCTTTAATGTCTTCAAAACATAATTTTATTATATGATTTAATTTGTTAGCTGCCTTGGTAGCTTGGTATGTATTTTGTAAATTAAATAAATTTTAAACCCAATAGTGTACCAATAGCACACATGCACAAGATCAGCAAACTAGTCATTAAGAATTCCAGCAAAGTGGGAGTCCATGTAAATCTCCACAGAGAGAAAATCAACTATGTAAATAATTTTTCAGGAGCCAATAACAACGTTTGGACAATCTTGCTCCATTAAGTGCACCCAAGCCAATTTTGAAAAACAGATTAGATATGCTTAACTACTGCACCCTCTAAGGGGAAGAACAATGCAAGGTAAAGGTAAAGGTTCCCTTGCTCGAAAGCCAGTCGAATCCAACTCTGGGGTTGCGGTGCTCATCTCCGTTTCAAAGCCGAAGAGCCAGCACTGTCCGAAGACGTTTCCGTGGTCATGTGGCCGGCATGACTAAACACCAAGGCGCACGGAACGCTGTTACCTTCCCACCGAAGTGGTCCCTATTTATCTACTTGCAATTTCTTGCTTTCGAACTGCTAGGTTGGCAGGAGCTGGAACTAGAGACGGGAGCTCACTCCGTCATGCGGCACACTCGGGTCTCGAACTGCTGAACTACCGACCTTCCACAGCCTGCAGTTCAGCGTCTTAACCACTTGAGCCACCGCAACTCCTAGAACAATGCAAACCGACGCACAATTACCTCAGTCTAAGCCACTGTAAACCTTACTATGGAATTTGCTTCTCACTACACAAACTCAATACATTTACTCAGAAGTAAGCAGCAAATTAAGCGTTGCTGACTCCCAAGTAGGCATGTAGTGACCCGCAGCACTGGGATCCTAATAAACACCCCTAAATACCTCACAGGAACCGTATAGTATAGCCTAGTCCCAAGTAAACAAGGTAAAGCTCGCATTCATCTCACATCTGACAGTTAGCTAACTGGGCTAAGAAACCAGGAAAACCCCGATGACGACTTAAAAGCCCGACAGTTAATGCACATGCTCAGTTCGCATTACGCCTTTCCGTCCCACGTTCTCCTGCTTTTCCCAGTAGTCGCCATGCCGGAAGTTGCCTGAAGAGTGGAGTGGCCGCTCTGTAATACCTGGTATCTATGTTCCTGGGCCGCCAATCGTGTCGCGCTGTACTCCGGAGCTGTTTGGTAACTATAAATCCAGACGCGGAGATGTGTAGTAGGATATTTCAGTTCAAGGCTTCGTTTTCCAGGTAGGGAGTGTAGGTGTAGAGCGTGACTCCGGAACCTTTAGCTATACGGCACTACAGGTTGCCGCTTTCCTAGCCGCTCGGAGGTTCCTAGTTCTCCGCTTGAACATAACATGGCTTTTCCATTGGTTTCACTTGGTGTCAGTAAAGGTAGAAGGGGCGGGCTGAGAAGAAACTGAAGTGGCCAATCAAAGAGTGGAGGAGCAGATTCCTCCTGGACCCTAAAAAGTGATTTACTTTCTAAAGTCATTACTAATTTCCCTAAGCGGGGAGGGGGTCTTTTGCCTGCCCCCCCCGCTTAGTTTCTGGAAGCGGTTTTTAAACAAAAAGTGTTCGGGGGAGCTTTGAATAGCGAAATGAAGTCCCTCATTTAATCCTAGACATCCCACCCCCAGTTAA